CACATCAGGTAACACATATACAGTTAGTAAAGACATTGTAGAGGACTGTGACAGGAAAGTTCTGTTTAAACTTGACTAAAATAGATGTTGAATTGTGAGAATTTATTTCTGTGAGAAACCACAGGTCCTCTTCCTGTTGTGCTCTCACTTCTACCTTGTTTTGGGTCCTTTGTGAAAGCCTGTGTCTCTTGATGTTTAATGAATTAGGAGGTTTTGTTTTTAGGTAGCAGCTTTCAGGGCCTTGAACCTTACCCGTCTTCCCCCTGTGTCTCCCAACAGCTGATGCTTATGGCTGTTCTGAACTGCCTCTTCGACTCATTGAGCCAGATGCTGAGGTGAGCAGGGCTTCTTTTTTTTTTTTCCCCCCAAGTTATGATGGAAAGAGCAGGGCATTGTTGATTTCTGTTTGGGAGATAAACTATTCATCAGGCCCAGGGATTATAGGGGATTGGCAAAGGCTCCAGTAGTTGATTTAGTTTAAGAGGTTGGCCTTATTAATTCATAGTAATTCATGCTACTGTGGAGGACTGGATGGAGAGTATGTCCTTCCCATGGAATAATTCTCTTACTAAGGAAGGGGACTAGGAGGGAGCAGATTCTTTACCTCTGTGTTTACTCTTGTAATCCCCTGTGGCCCTGTCAGAGTTCTGAGCATCCTCAAGGGGCTTTCATGGGCCTCATTCTTGACATTAGAAGTGGGGAAAGGCCAAGCCTAAGGAAGTGTTCCAGATGGAACATCAGTCAGTACTGTGGGAATGGAAGGCAACAGTCCCAATTTTTTTTTTTTTTTTTTGAGATGGAGTCTCGCTCTGTTGCCCAGGCTGGAGTGCAGTGGCGTGATCTCGGCTGACTGCAACCTCTGCCTCCCGGGTTCAAGCGATTTTCCTGCCTCAGCCTTCTCCGTAGAGTAACTGGGACTACAGGCGTGTACCACCATGCCTGGCTAATTTTTGTATTTTTAGTAAAGATGGGGTTTTGCCATGTTGGCCCAGCTGGCCCTGAACTCCTGACCTCAAGTGATCTCCCCACCTTGGCTTTCCAAAGTGCTGGGATTATGGGCATAAGCCATCTAGCCTGGCCCCCAGTTTAGTTTTTTTTTTAACTTCTAGTTTACTTCTAGTTCTTGTTTTTTCCCTTCTATAGATCAGGAAGCACCCAGGCAGGAGGATTACATGAGTTGAGTTCAAGACAAGCCTGGGCAACATAGTGAGACCCTGTCCCTGCAAAAGATAAAAAAAGTAGCCAGGTGTGGTGGCACATACCTGTAGTCCCAGCTACTTGGGAAGCTGAGGTAGGAAGATTCCTACTCAGCTGAGCCCAGGAGGTTGAGGCTGCAGTGATCTATGATCGTACCACTGCATTCCAGCCTAGGCGACATAGCAAAACTCTGTCTCAAAAAACAAAAAAAAAACCAGGAAGCTTATGCCATATACCGTCTCCTCCCTTTCCACCTCCCCATTAGCCCTGTGTTCTCTATTACCCATGTAGATGGGTAATAGAAGAGATATAAGTTGCTTTTCCTGAAAACATCCAGGGCTCTGAACTTCATTCCCTCAGCAGCTCCCAAGTGAACCCAGTATAGACAACCATCCAGACTAGAACAGCAGGTGCTCTCAGCCCTGCAAAATCAGCAGGGTGAATGGCTCAGGTTTCCTCAGGAAGGGGATGATTTATTTCTTAGCCAGGTGAATGAATAGACTTCATTTCGGGTAATCTAGTGAAAGACTCAAACTGATGGATATGGCAGGCCACATGTAGCAACCACTGGATCTGAGGCTGGTACATGCAGACTCTGCCCGCTCTTTGGGCCTTTCAGGGCCTGAGCAGAGCTGGTAAGGGATGGAGAGAAGGGGGAACAGAGAATGTCTGAGGAGTTTTGTCAGAGCTTGAGTGCAAATCGGATTTGCATTCAACCCCTTCTACCTCGCGCCACCTCCGGATTGAGTCTTAGCTCTGTTTATGTTGTTTTTTTTCCCACCCACTGATGTCAGTGTTTATGAGCAGTGTTATGAGCAGCATCATGGCAGGTAGGAAAGAAATAATAGCTGTGGCTAATCAACCCGTGAATAGTCAGAAATTGATTGTATTATTTGAATCTCTTTCCAGACATTCCTTATTCAGCACTTAAGAGTAGAAAGGGGTTTTGCGTGAACTAGCTAAAAAGTTTTTCACCTTATTTACATCTCTGTGTGGTTGGTGGAAATGTTTATTGGTCTAGTTTAGGTTCCTCAATGCAGACAAGGTCCTAGGATTTCTTTCACACACAGGTTGGTTTTTCTCTTCTCTTCTTTTGGGGACTCAGGAAAAATGTAGAAAAGCGAGCACTACTGGAGAACATGGAGGGGCTGTTCTTGGCTGTGGATGAAATTGTAGATGGAGGGTAAGTTCTGTGATCTGCCTTGATCTTGGGTGAGGTGGTGGGATAAATGCCCCTCTCCTAAATCAAGCAGGCTTAGTAGCCAGAGGTCCTGTCCTCCCACAGTGAGTTGGGCCTTCAGGACAGAGTGAACGATGATCTCTTCTTTGTTTTTGCAGGGTGATCCTAGAGAGTGATCCCCAGCAGGTGGTACACCGGGTGGCATTAAGGGTAAGCAGGAATGAGTTTCTCTGCATCCCCACGTCTATTCACAGACACCCTCCAGAGCCAGACCTGCTGAATGTGTCCAATAGTTGGGGCTCATAGGAAACATACAACCTTCTCTTTTCCTTTCAAATACATTGAGCCTTTCTCTTTCCTTCCCTTCTTATTATCCCAAAGAAGGAAGCAGAAAGAATTTATTTCTGCCCTTAATACAGTACCTAACATCTCATACAGTCTTTGCACATAGTGAACATTTAATACATACTTATTTAATAAATGATGAAATAAAAGAAACTTTAATATTTATGGTTTTGAAATTATAAAGGAACTTGAAGTTGGGTTATTCCCTTCTTGGAGCTGGATCCAATCATCTGAGGTAGAGGAGTGTCTTTCCTGTCTTTTAAAGTCTTATATGACTGAGGATGGTACCTCTCCATCAGGAAGTACTTATTTATCAGAACCTCAGTTCTCTTTGGTGCTAGTGATATCAGAAAGGGGCCTCTGAGTTTAACCACAGAAGGCCCCAAGTCAACCGGGGAGATAATGGTGGATTCAGAGAGAGCCCACCAGCAAATTGTAGGGGTACAAAGATGTCTGAGCAAAGCAAATCTCCCCATTCACAGAATGTCCTGGCTCTGACCTCCACAGAGTGAAGGCTGACAGTGCTTGGTAATGGGAAATCTTCTCCCTTAACTGCTGTGGGCTCCATTTGCATAGCTTAATCTTCTCCTCTAACATATGTCTCTATGTGGCAAGAGAGAGGGTCCCCCCACCAACTCCCCCCTTTCTCTTCTCAGGCTGCTGTTGCAGCAGTTTATTTCTTCAAATTAACATGCTGTCGTTACCCATCAGGCTTTGCGGGATCCATTAAACTACTCCTGGCTCCCCCTCATCCTTTCCCTAGCAATATTGATATTCAGAGAAGGCCTTTTCTGACTAGGGAATCAGGTCCAAGTTAAGGGAGTTGAGGATCAGGTAACCTGCTGGTTACTCGGAATGGAGTAAATCTTAAGTCCTGCCTTGGAGAATTGCCTGAACCCAGGAGGCGGAGGTTGCGGTGAGCCGAGATCACGCCATTGCACTCCAGCCTGGGTAACAACAACGAAACTCCGTCTCAAAAAAAAAAAAAAAGAAGTCCTGCCTTAAAATGGAAGCTGGATGAAATGACCCTTTTTTGTTCATAATCCCTCTGGCCAAGTAAAATTTTAGCTGTGCTAGTCCCTAGAAGGGACTGAGAAGTTCAGTGCATCTGCCCTTTGTTTCAGTTTAAAGGATCACTTTTTTCTTCTCTAATTCCAGACTCCAATCAGGTCTTACTCCAGCTTTCTCCCACACTAAATGCTTATATCTCTGTGCCATAGGGTGAAGATGTCCCCCTTACGGAGCAGACCGTGTCTCAGGTATGACATTTTCCCTCTTCTTTCCAGATGGACCGGGTCACTAAAGAAGCTAGAATAGTATTCCACCCATATCTCCCAAGTCTGAGTGTGACTAGAGACTCAAGACACATCTTCCTTGGCTCCCTCTTACTCCAGAGAACTGGGATTTGTGCAGCTAACCACTTCCTACCCCTACTTCCAACTCCTTTCTCAGTTTCCTGTGAGCAGTGGCTGTCAGCCTTGCTCTGTACCCTTCAAACCCTCTCTGCCTGATGCCTCATTCAGTGATTTATTCCCCAGCAGAGGCTTGCCTTAAGCAGATGGTCTGTGTGCATTTGTGCACACACTCTCTCTCTTTCTCTTATTATTCAAATGAGGGCTAAGCTGGAAATGCATATTCTAGAATATGCAGGTTTTGCAGATCCATCTTGCTACCTTGACTGCAGATAGATTGTCTACCTGATGTAGGGGGAAGGGAGGGATTCTGTTTTCTACCCACTTGGAATTCTCACCAAGAAGTCCATCTGGATTTGTTACCCACCCCATGCCCGCCACCCGTTTTAACATATGTCCGGTAACTCCCAGTTTTTTTTTTTTTCTTTTATACCAGGTATACCTCTTCTCTCTTCATCCCCCCAATGGATATGAATTTTTTTGGAATTTTCTAAACAATCTGCTAGGGCCTTAGAGAGCTTCTTCCCATCTCTTTACCCTTGGAGATTTTCTATTCTCAATTCTCCTAAGGACAGGGAAGGAGATCCCCAGCCCTCATCCTTACCCTGCTCTGTCAGCAAGCTTTCCTCAATGCTGCTCTTATCTCTGCAGGTGCTGCAGTCAGCCAAAGAACAGATCAAGTGGTCGCTCCTTCGGTGAAGACCCCACTGTTCCTGGTTCTTCATCCTCTTCGAAAAATTCGCATGTCTACTGTGAATTTTCATCTAGTTCCCCAACTGATACTTTCAGGGTCATCTTGGGGATCATAGGATCCTTAAATCTCCATCCTGTTTGTGGTTGCTCCCCCAGCCTCCCCTACACCCTTCCTGTTCCTTCTCATTCTTTTTGCAGTTCTGGGAGTAAAGTTCCCAGCATATTTAGATACAGGGCAGGGGAGGTACCCTCTTTCTATCTAGACTGGATTATGCTCACATGCTCCCCTGCCCTGACATTTTTGTAAATTCTGTGCCCTTTGCTGTAGCTACACTTAAGATTAAAGTAGGAGAAAGAATGTGCTGAGTGTTTTCCTCCCTTTGCCTTTTTACCTGGCCCTCATTCCGACAGCCCAGAAAGGGGAGGGAGAAAGAATTCCTTTCTATAGAATGAGTCGGGGTGGGGATGGGTAGGGATGTATCCAATGCAAGCCCTAGCCCCACTTACTGACCTCAGTGTTTTCTTTTGTGCCTTCTTACTGCCCTGTCCTCTGCCTTGGAAATGGCATTAGGAATAGCTCATAGGGAAGGGACAACATGGAAGAAACAGTGATTTAATTGTATTGAATAGGTCATATAAAATGTATTCTCTACTCTGATCCTGGCATATAGCTTCAAAACTGCTATGGTGAGTGTCCATCTCTTAGCTACCATAACTCTCCACCCTTACTACCTGCGGGATCTTTGCCTGGTTTGTCTTCTCTGTGTCCTGCAGCAAAGCCACTAAAGCTCCATTCTAGTCTTGGGAAGAAGAGTTTCTGCTCAGAACTGGGGAAGGAGTGGAGCTTATGACTTGGTCCTCTAGGCTATCTCTGTCCCCTCAGCTCCCCTATGTGTGTTTACTCCTCTGCCTTGGGTTTGCAGTCGCTGCTTAACTCTATCCTCTCTCTGTCTCAGCCTTACACCCAAGCAGTAGGTCTGTGCTCTCCCTGTCTCTAGGTCGCTGAGAGAGGTACTCTCATAAAACTTTTGGCATCTGGATTTCCCCAGGAAGATGGAGAATGGAATACTCACTCTTGGGTCTAATCTTTCCCCTTGACCCGAACTTCCTCCCCACAAAAATGTCTTTAAAAACCTTCCTGAGAGTTAAGCATTCTGCCCCACCAGTTCTCCAACACTGAAGTGGGGCAGATAGCTGGGCATATTTGAGGGGGCATTTTTGTGTAAAAGATGCATGGAGCCAGGAGATAGCCACCTTTATAAACTGCTCTGTGCAAAGAGGAATAAAACATTTTTTCCAAACTGCCTTTGTGTGATGTTTCTGTTTCTCTTACTCTCTTTTTGGCAGCTACTCCTATTCCTCCAGCCACCCACCCCCCACTCCCCATCTTAAAATATTTCTTCCGTCCTACCTCAGAGGCTCTCTAGCAGTGCCCCCCCCATCTCTAATTTACGGGGCTGTTTGCTTCCTTGGCATCTCTCCGTCCCCTCGCCTGGAAATTGGCGCCAGGGGTGGGGTGGGGATGGTATTTTCTCAGTGGGAGTCCCAGGGAACTGAGTTCTTCCCCCACCACCCCAAAGCCAGCTGCCTGCTCCCGCCTCAGCCATTAGTAACCCAGAGACGCGCACCTGCGTGGGGGCTCTCCTCCAGCCCTTGCTCCTTTCCTGTACCTCCCACTCCTGCTCTGAAACGGCGCTGAGCGGGTTATTTATCGGAGCCAGCGCTGCTCCAGAAGGTCAGGACGGTGGTGTAAATAACCTCTTCTCGCCATTTCCCCGTCCCTCCAGAGCCCGCTCCCCTCCCCCTCCTCCACCTTTATTCGCACAAATGAATGTGGCTGGGCTGGCGCAGCGCCTGGCCCTGCATCTTAATGGGGCGGTGAGCTCACAAGATGGATTTAGCTGGGGGTTTTATGGTTGCCGCGGCGACAGAATGCTTTGGTTTTCTTTCCCCCTTCCTCTGCAGGATTTTTAAGGAGGGGGGAGTGTGGGGAGCCTCTTCTCCACTGCAGTTTGAAGGGTCTCCTTCTCAGTAACCTCTGCTGCTCATAAAATGGGTCTGCAATTCCAGGATTAAGCAAGGGAGACCAAATTAGTATCTCAGATGGGAAAGGATGAGGGAAGGAAGGTAACAGGAATGGGGTGAGTCTCTCCAGCATCAGAACATGAAACTCAGAGTTTTCCAGTCTTGCCTGCTCTTCTGTGGAAACCTGACAATTCAGGTCAACAACTATGGGGCACCTGTGCCTGGATACCCCTTAGGAGGTAGAAAAGAAAAGAAAAATACCTGGGGTACCACGTCTGCCTACAGTCCTGCACTGAAAATTGGAATGCAAGAGTTTGGAGAAAGACTAGGTACTTATGTCTTTGCCCGTTGGAGCTGGGGAAAAGCAATACTCAGCCTTATCATTCTAATCTTCCTACTCACCACCCAGCACTGACCTGGGGGAGGGGCAATGTCAGTGCCAGAGTTGGGTGGTGGTGATCTGTCATGGTGTGGAGCATGGAGTTCTATCCAGTTGTCAAACTTGGAGTTCTCTGAGCTTCAGTTTCCCCAGCCTGGCCTGGGTTGAACTCCTGCCTTCTGTTTTCCAACATGAACGGAACTTTGGTGCCCTGGGCTACCCAGTCTTTTGGCCAGCACTTTTTCTTCAGGGCTATGAGTAAACACATCCCCACACACTGACTGAAGCAGAGCCTGGGAGCAGGGTCTGATTATTTCTCTTCCTTGGTTTCTTTCTGTCTGTAAGCCTGTGTCTTTCTGTTTGTGAGCCTTTCCCTCTTTCCCAGGGGACACTGGGAGGCCCCTCCTCCCCTCTCCTGTCTTCCTCCCCTTTGGCTGGGAAAGTGACTACAGCCTGAACAGTGCCAGACACCTGCCTGCCAGATGTGGCGATTCCCCATTCTTCCCCCCACCACCCTATGTCTATTCTTTCCCTACCCCACTGAGCTCAGGCAGAGGGAGCCCCCCCACAGGGTGATTTACTGCTGCTGCCTCTCTTCCTCAAGTGCCCCATCCACTCGTCTCCCTCCCCCTCACTCTCCCCATGGTGCCCATTCCCCCTCTTTTCCCACAATGTTCTGTAGCTACCTTCTTGATACAGCTTCCTCCCACTCCTACTCCAGACTGCTAGGCTATATAAACTCCAGCTCCTGGACTAGAGAGTGAATGCGTGGGGCAAAGGTGATTAGCCTTCTGTTTCACCCATGGGAGAGTACATCAGCAACAAGGCTGAGGACAGGGCAGCCAGAGCTGATGTCATTCTCACTGGGGGAGGAAGGGAGGTGACAGAGTGGAGGAGGTGAATGGGGAGGGAACCAACACTCCAAGACTGTCTTGAGAGGAAAAAAAGGTCTCTGGGAACTTCCTAGGTAGGTGACAGAGAGTCCAGAATTGTGGCTGCCTGGTGGACATCACATCTTTCTGGCTGAGCCTCCAGACTTTGTCTCTAAATCTGTATCTCAGTATGACTTAGGAGATGTCCCTCAGCTCCTCCCCTTCACATTGACCCAAAACACACACTTAGAGAGAACTTTAAGTCTTTACCCTTCTCTCTTTAGTGTTCGTCCTTCTGTGTCTTCTTTATCTCTTTTGTTTTTTTTGAGACAAGGTCTCACTTTGTCACCCAGGCTGGAGTGCAATGGCATGATTGTAGCTCACTGCAGCCTCGACCTCCTTGGACCCAGGTGATCCCCCACCTCAGCCTCCTGAGTAGCTGAGACTACAGGCGTATGCTACCATACCCGGCCAACTTTTTGTATTTTTTTGTAGAGATGAGGTTTTGCCATATTCCCCAGGCTGGTCTTGAACTCCTCGCCTCAAGTGATCTACTCGCCTTGGCCTCCCAAAGTGGTGGGATTACAGGAATGAGCCAGTGCACCTGGCCTGTTTTTTTTTTTTAAAGACGGGTTTCACCATGTTGGTCAGGCTGGTCTTGAACTCCTGACCTCAGGTGATCCACCCACCTTGGCCTTCAAAGTGCTTGGATTACAGGCATGGCCACCACGCCTGGCCGTGGCCTGGTTTTTTTTTTTTTTTTTGTTTGTTTTTTGAGACAGAGTTTTTCTCTGTTGCCTAAGCTGGAGTGCAGTGGCACAGTCTTGGTTCAACGCAAACTCCACCTCCCAGGCTCAAGCGATTCTCCTGCCTCAGCCTCCTGAGTAGCTGGGATCATAGGCATGTGCCACCATGCCCAGCTATTTTTTTGTATTTTTAGTAGAGACAGGATTTCACCATGTTGGCAAGGCTGTTCTCCAACTTCTGATCTCAGGTGATTCGCTCGCCTCTGCCTCCCAGAGTGCTGGGATTACAGGTATGAGCCACTGTGCCCAGCCTGTGTCTTTTCTTTATCAATCTCATCCCTCTCATTTCACCCCACCTCCCTTAGTTGTGCTTTTCTTTCTGGTCACCTGTCCACCCCACCCTTCCATGCCATATCATAACCTAATGATTCCCAGACCTCCCACTAAAGCAGGGACTCATTCAAAGCCTCTTTTCTCCTTCCCATCCATTCTTGGAATCTAACTCCCAAAGGCCCCCTCTGCGCCAGAACAGGGTTCTAGAGGGGACCGAGGTAGGAGGGATGGCTGGGCTGAAAAGTGGCAGACGCAGGACAGATGGAGCAGCGTCCAAGGAATTAGGGGAAGGGGGAAGAGGGAGACAAGAAGATGGAAAGAAACAAAATGAGAGAGAAAAAGTGATTGAGAGACTGAGGCAGAGGCTGAGAGATGGTGAGAATAACAAACTGGGAGAATGAACTACAAAGAAGAAGAGCAAGACTGGGAGGAGAGAAAAAGAATAGAGTTGGAAACAGGAGAGTCATAGCAAGAGAAGGCCACGAGGGAGGGGCCCGGCAAAGGGCAGCCTGTCTCTCCTGGGCTCCCTCAAGCCATAAGTTGTGTGCATGTGAGAGAGTGTGTGTGTGTGCGCGCGCGCGCGCGCGCGTGTGTGTGTGTGCATGGCACATTTGCATAGGGGTCTGTGGTAGGGACAGGATGATTTCCACAATATTTTTCCATTTCTTTCATCAGCCTCTTTCCTTGAGGCACCCCATACTAACCCCCCTTCTCCCAGTATTCCGGATGCTCAAGGGACCATTCCGAAAGTATTTCCACCACTCAGCAATCCTGGCTTTCTCACTTGGAATGCAGGCCTGCTGGAATGTCCAGGATCCATAGAATCAAGAGGCCCTATCCCCTCGCTGTCCACCCCCCATGCCTGCCCACCAGCTGCTCCTGTCCATCTTTTCCTCCCATTCTCCTTGTATCTCCCTGTCCTCCACACTGACCCCTCCCCCAGCTCTGACCCCCAGCCTGCCTGGGGCCTGGGTCAGAGGGTAAACAAAGACAGGATTTATCACCAGAATTGAGAAGCAGCCAGAGATCAGGGCTGAGGGCAATGGCTCACCTCCCTAGGATAGGAGGGAGCCCTAAGCCGGATGCCAGGAGGCTGGAAGCCTGGGTTCCAGTGGTTGCTGCTTACAATCCCCAACTTTTCCCACTCCAGCTTTCCTCTCTCCCTTGTCTCTGAAGACTTAGAAGACAGAGAAGAATATGACCCTGAGGGGATTTTAGGCCTCTGAAGGAAAACCTGGGAGGAGGAAAACCTGGAGGAGATGAGATTGATGTCTTAAGGTTATTCTCTTAAGGATATTGAAGGCTTGGAAACTAGAGGCAATCAGGCACCAACTGTTTCCAGGACTAAGAAAGAGTTCAGGTCTAATACTGCAACAGATAGACAGCAACAGATGAGACTGTCCTCTAATACAGAGAGGGACTTCTCAAGAACAGGCCCTGGTTGCCAGTAAGAAAGGAAATAAAAGTGATTATGGGTTCTGAAAGGTGGGAGACACAGTCTCACCTGAAAGTGAAGAAAGAAATGAAATTTATCAAGGGTTATTTCTAACTCTAGTCTCTCTGAGAAAGTGTTCTTCCCTAAGATCCCCAACTCCCTCCTGAGAGGTACAAGGAGCAGCTGGTCCTTTACAGTAAATAGACTATTGGCCTGAAATTGTCTCTACTCAGCAGACAGGGTGTGTGCTTGAGGAGAGGGAACGGTATGCTCCAGGAGTTTCCGAGAAACCAGACTGTATATCTTTCAGTGGACAGCTCCCGCAGCTTCCCTAGGCTCTTGGAAGCCCACCACCAGCCCCCCTAGAATCTCAGTGTGTCAGAAGCCTCCACAAACCCAGCTCAGAAGCTTTCATGCCCCTTCCAGGCCCTGGCACCCAAATTCCTGCTTCTTGCCTTGACCCTCTTGTCCTGGAAGACAGCTGTTACAGTTACCTACAAGTAAGAAGAGGGTTGGAAGGATGAGGAACTGAGGGAACTGGGAGTTTACCAATCTCTGTTTCTCACCACAGTCCCACTAACCATTCCTACCCGGGTCTGGTGAGGGAAAACTTGTGCTCTCCTCTCTTAAAATCCTCTGCAAGCTGAAACCATTCTGTCAATTTCTGATGGAAAGCCAAAAATTGGAAATATGTTAGTGGGAAGGGGTCGTAGATTGCGAGAGAAAGGGAAAGGACAAAAGAATTGGGCTGAGGGGGTTGGTGTGGGCACGCCAAGTGAGGAAGAAATAGGAAAGCGGAGAAGAGAGCATGTCTTTTTTCCCCAGTTCCCCTTCCCCCAATTGAAGCGGCAGATTTACAGCCTTGGTTTGGAGAGGGGGTTGAGCATAAGGAAGACAGATCTGCAGTTCTGCCCTCTGAGTGTCTGGGTACTTAGCTTTAACTCCCCCATTAGCATCAATCCCCATCTTGCTGCCCATCCGTCTTCTGACATCAGCTCCTTCCCCTCTCTGTAGCCCAGGCTTTCTGACCCTAAGTGGCTCTTAAAGGGCCAGTCTAGACCCTTTCCTCCCTCCTCCCACTCCAGGCAGCAGTCTGGTGTATATGTGCGCATGTGCACTGTGGCCATCCTTGCTAAGGCCATAGTGGTTGGAGGGCATGGGGGATGGGGGCAGTGACTCTTCCCTAGCTCTGTTTTCCTTATGCCTCTCTTATATTATGGACCTCCATCTTTCTTTGATATCTACCCAAACCCAAAACAAGCCGTTTCACTGGGCTGGGGGTCACAGACACATGGCTCCTAAAGCAGAGGGCTGGAGAAGGCATGTGGATCCACAGGTAGATCCACCACCCCTTCCCCATCTCCTGGAGGCCCAGGGCAAGGGATGTCAAGAACTACTGGCTGTTTTAATTCTCAGCCAGCAGTGGGGGTGGGCAGGTTGGGGGCCAAGACTCCTAGGAGATGCCCTGAGCCCCACATTCCTAGCCTCCTTTCCCAGGGATCCAGGCTGTGGTCTGTGGAGGTGGGGGATTTGAAATCTTCCTTTCCTGTGAGGATGGTGACAGGCCAGAGAAATCTGCCTCTGAATTTTCTGGCTTCTCTCTCCTATTCCTCAGCAACTGAGCTTAAGGGGGCAGGGGGAAATGGGCTTCTCCCCACCTTTTGCAAAAAATGTAGTAACTGCACCCTAGGGGCTGTAAGAATACCAGGATGCTTGGAAAGTTCCTCCCCTATCTGCCTTCAATCCTTTCTGCTGCAAAGCTCTTCGGTCCTCTGAGGGGCTCTCCAGGATAGTCAGCCCCACTTCCTGATACCTGAAACCCATTCCTCACCTCCCTCTGTGCTTCCTTCTCTGGCTCAGGAGGAGTGGGAATGTGTGGGTGGAGGCCTTGGGAAAATGGCCATGTTAAAGATAGGAGCCCCCAGCTGCACCCCCCAGTGGACCCTTATTTATCACCTTCCAAACCTCACCTCAAAGAAGCATAAATATTCCTAATTCCTGAAGGCCACCCTGGACTCATAAATTTAAGTGGGGAGGTGGGCAAGGGGAGGAGTGAGGTGCATGGAATGGGGAGCTTACTGCAGTCTCGAGGAAGCAGACTATCTCCTGGGGGAGGCGCCTGACTTGTCTGTCCCTTTGCAGACGCCAATGGGTCTTCTTAGGGAGGAGGAGGAGGAGCCTTTCTCTCAATATTTCCTTTGGGGAGTAGTCTTCTCTCACTGCACCTTTCCTTCCTCCCCTAAAAACAAACAAAAACTCTGCCTTTCTCCTGGTCTTCCCCATTAGTTCTCTGTGGCTCTCCCTCCCTCTTTTCTTTGCTATTACCTTTCAGCTGTCCTTTCCCGCTTCACCCTCTCTCTCACCTCCCTATAGCGCCCCTTTCTGCCTTTGCTTCTCTAATGCTTTCCCTTTTCCATTGTGTGAACAGGAAATGTCCGTCTCTTACTCAGTCTGGATAGTGACGTTTGAAAAGTCCCCCTGTCGGTGCGGATCTCCCTGCCTCAGTCCGTGTGGCCCTCAAATGCGTTCTTTCACCTCGGATCTTGGACAAATTACCCAACGCCCCATTTATCTCCTCAACCTTCTCTCTCCCCTGCCTTCCTTCTCTCCTCAGCCGTCCTCTCTGCCATCCTTTTGCCCCCTCAGTTTCCCCTTCGCTCTTCAGCTCGGAATCCTCTCTCCCTCTTCAGTCTCCTCTGCTCTTACCGTCGGCCCCCAGCCGCACCCCGCAGACTACTGCTCCGCCCATGTGTACCCCTCAGACCCCATCATCCCTCCAGTGCCCACCACCACCACACCCCAGTTCCCCCTCCCAGTGTACAAAAGAGAAGGGAGGAGGGGGCCTGAGGGACAGGTAGAGGGAGCGCCATTCCTTGAGGGGAGGGAAAGAGGAGAAAGAGCAGGGGCGAGGAAGAGGGACGCAGTAGCGAGGGGAGGGGCCTCCTCACTGCCCGGCAGCTGCACCCCCTTCCCCGCGGTCGCTGAGCCGTAAATCAGGGCCCAGGCGGTTTGGCCAATGGTAGAGTGACTCGTAAATCGGCCTGTCAACCTCAGCCAATCAGAGGCAGCGTTAAATCAAGTTCTGTCAGCGCTTGACCAATGAAAGGCCCTGGGCTGACCATAAATCTGCCTGTAAGAGACAGCGAAAGAGAGAGAGCGTGCGAATGAGCAAGAACGGCCGGGGCGGGCGACTGGGGAGGGGGCGAGGGGAGCGGGGGAGCCGGGGAGTGGGGAGACGAGCTTAGGAGAAAAAAAGGCGATAACAGAGGTACGGGAGATGAAGAGAGCCTACAGGAGAGACGGACAGATGGAAAGAGACAGAGAGAGGCCGTGAGAGACAGCGTCAGAAAGTCAGCGATAGAGCTCGGACTCGGGTGGGAGACTGACAGAGATCAAGAGACAATGGGAGACAGACGGTGACTTACACTCGTGGGCATACAGGGCCTCCAGACACACACAATTCCAGAGACACGCATGAGCAACGCACCACTAGGGACTCAGTGCATGGTCACACGCGCCAGGCACGCCGGCAAGAGAGAGAACGCCTCAAGAAAGCCTGGCTTTTCTTCCGTTTCTTTCCCCACATTCAGCCCTTACTGAAGTTAGGAGTGGGGGTGGCTGTGTGAGCCGTGGAGGGTGGTTGCTTTCTTGCTAAGATCTGCCCTCTATGGTCTTAGACCCCAGGATTTCCTTCTGTGTCTCCTGAGTTACTTTTTTCCCCCCAACGACTGATAATTGGAAAGTCCTTTCTGAAGTCTAACCTCAATCCCTATTGCTGTACCTTTCTACTTGACACCTTTGTGAATTGCCTTCTAGGAACATGTAAAGTAAATCCTTTTACAACCCTTCAGAGAGTTGTCAACTTTCCGAATCTTAGAAGTTCTGAATAGGAAGGACTGTTAGGGATCATCTGGGCACTCATCCTAGTTTTAGAAAGGCAGATCTGAGACTCTGCCCTCAAATCACGGTCATACAACTTACTAGTCCTTCGGCCTTGGACAAATTAACCTATTTGTGCTTCAGTTTTCTCATTTGTAAGAAATTATAATAGATAACTTATGATAATTTCGTGAGGATTACATGAAACAATGTATTTAAAAGGAACTCCACTGGGCACGTGTCAGGAGTGTACTCGGCACCCTGCTTTGTACAGATAATAAAATCTGAGCCCCACAGTGGTCCAGAGATCTACTCAAGTTCCCATGGCTAATTATCAGAGAGCCTTGACTGAAACCTTTGTCTCTGCACCCCAATCTATTGTTCCTCATTCGTCCCACAGTTTACCTGTCTGAACCCCTGCCTTAGTACCCCCATCTTGATTTGGTTTAGCTGCTGTGACTTTTGTGGAAGGAGGACACCCAGAAATGTGTGTTCCAGTTTAGGAGTCAGGATTCCTGGACCCTAGAAGTGTGTTGCATGTGACGGTGTCATCTTCCCACCCCAACTGTAATTCTTTCTGCCCTTAATATCTTCAGACTACTTTGTTCTCTCAAACCTTGGTCTTGAGGTATGGAGGGGCCAACAGCTACTCCCCCCAGCCCCACCCTAAGTAGACAATCGTATTTCATGAATAGTAACTGTCTCATTCTTCACTTTTCTTCCTAAGCTTTGGGGAAAAGTGAGGGTGCAGATCCACGGGTCTCTATTCCCTGGTCAGGAGTCTCTGGATTCCCAGTCCTGCCTTCTGTCTTCAACTGGGAAGCCAGAAAAGAAACGCAGACAACCAGCGTCACCTGGTGGCCACAGGTGCTTCAAGGCTGTGTGTAAGTATACACATTGTGACAGGAGTTGGTTGCGCTGAAGGGAAGGAATTACGGTATGGCTTCCTCCTAGCCTGGCCCCTGAGCCCTTTTAACTAGAGTCTTTGTTCTCTCTTTTTTCCTTCTCCTTCTCCTTTCCTCTTCTTTCCTCGGACTCTTGCTTACCTGCCCAGCCTGGAGTGCAGTGGCGTGATCTCGGCCCATTGTAACCATCGTCTCCTGGGTTGAAGTGATTCTCCTATCTCAGCCTCCTGAGTAGCTGGGATTACAGGCACCTGCCATCATGCCTGGCTAATTTTTGTATTTAATTTAATTAATTTATTTATTTTGAGATGGAGTTTCCCTCTCGTTGACCAGGCTGGAGTGCGATGGCGTGATCTCGGCTCACTGCAACCTCTGCCTCCCAGATTCAAGTGATTCTCCTGTCTCAGCCTCCCAGGTAGCTGGGATTACAGGCATGCGCCACCATGCCACACTAATTTTTGCATTTTTAGTAGAGACAGGGTTTCTCCATGTTGGTCAGGCTGGTCTTGAACTCCTGACCTCAAGAGATTCACCCACCTTGGCCTCCCAAGGTGTTGGGATTACAGGTGTGAGCCACCATGCCTGGCCCATAATTTTTGTATTTTAGTAGAGACAGGGTTTCACCATGTTGACCAGGCTGGTCTTGAACTCCCAACCTCAGGTGATCTTCCTGCCTCAGCCTCCCAAAGTACTAGGATTACAGGCATGAGCCACTGCACCCAGCCTGTTCTGCTTTTATAAGCCAGAATGACAAGTGCAAGGGAAATGAGGGCCTGGGACTCAGGTGAATTAGCCCCATGGGCAAGACCCTGCCAGGGCAGCTGGAACCTTTTCCTGCCTTTGCCTCAGTTCAGTTCAGTTCCTTTCCTTCTTTCTTTCTTTCTTCCTTCTTTCCTTTCCTTTCCTTCTTTCTTTCTTTTTCTTTTCTATCTTCTTTTTCTTTTTTTTTTTTTTTTGAGACGGAGTTTCGCTCTTGTTACCCAGGCTGGAGTGCAATGGCGTGATCTCGGCCCACAGCAACATCCGCTTCCTAGGTTCAGGCAATTCTCCTGCCTTAACCTCCTGAGTAGCTGGGATTACAGGCACGCGCCACCATGCCCAGCTAATTTTTTGTATTTTTAGTAGAGACGGGGTTTCACCATATTGACCAGGATGGTCTCGATTTCTTGACCTCGTGATCCACCTGCCTCGGCCTCCCAAAGTGCTGGGATTACAGGCGTGAGCCACCGCGCCCGGCCTTTCTTTTTTTCTTTTTTTTTGACAGAGTTTTGCGCTTTGTTCCCCAGGCTGGAGTGCAGAGGCCAATCTTGGCTCACTGCAACCTCCTCCTTCCTGGTTCAAGCGATTCTCCAGGCTTAGCCTCCCAAGTAGCTGGGATTACAGGTGCCTGCCACCTTGTCCAGCTATCTTTTTTTTTTTTTTATTTTTAGTAGAGACAGGGTTTCACCATGTTGGCCCGGCTGGTCTCAAACTCCTGACCTCAGGTAATCCACCTGCTTCGGCCTCCCAGAGCGCTGGGATTACAGGTGCGAGCCACCCGCGCCCAGCCAGTTCAGTTCCATTTCTACAGAGCAAGGAGTCTTCCTTCATGACCATTACCTTTGCACAGAGCAAGGGCTGGGGTCTGGACCCACTGGAATAGATATCAAAGACGGATTATAAAACTTTTTTGAGCTGAATAAACTTGTTTGGAGGGATGGTGGATCCTGGCAGCAGTGGTTGGGGCAGAGGCCATTTCTGGGAAGTCAAACAAAAAGGCTAATCCTTTTAAATCACCTCCCATGTTTCATTAGCTAGAAACTCCTCTTCTAAAGGCTGTGTCCCAGGCCAGCTGCTTCCAGCTCCTGCTTTGACCTAGGTACCCCTGATCCCTTAGCTCTTAGGTTCCAGCTCCTGCTTTGACCTAGGTACCCCTGATCCCTTAGCTGTTAGGTTCCAGCTCCTGCTTTGACCTAGGTACCCCTGATCCCTTAGCTATTAGGTTCCAGCTCCTGCTTTGACCTAGGTACCCCTGATCCCTTAGCTGTTAGGTTCCAGCTCCTGCTTTGACTTAGGTACCCCTGATCCTTTAGCTGTTAGGTTCCAGCTCCTGCTTTGACCTAGGTGCCCCTGATTCCTTAGTGATGAGGTTCCAGCTCCTGCTTTGACCTAGGTGCCCCTGATCCCTTAGCGATTAGGTTCCAGCTCCTGCTTTGACCTAGGTACCCCTGATCCCTTAGCTGTTAGGTTCCAGCTCCTGCTTTGACCTAGGTGCCCCTGATCCCTTAGCTGTTAGGTTCCAGCTCCTGCTTTGACCTAGGTGCCCCTGATCCCTTAGCTGTTAGGTTCCAGCTCCTGCTTTGACCTAGGTGCCCCTGATCCCTTAGCTGTTAGGTTCCAGCTCCTGCTTTGACCTAGGTGCCCCTGATTCCTTAGCTGTTAGGTTCCAGCTCCTGCTTTGACCTAGGTGCCCCTGATCCCTTAGCTATTAGGTTCCAGCTCCTGGTGGCCACAGGTGCTTTAGGGATATGGGTGAGCATGCACATGGTGACAGGATTTGGTCACGCAGGAGGGATGGGATGGGATGTTCTCCTCTTAGCCTGGACCCTTAGCCTAACTGTGACCCATGTCCTCCTTCCCCAGAGACCACACCTGAGCATTACAAGCACAGAATTTATTTATTAATAGTTAATAATACTCCTTGAGCAGTCTAGGGCTGAAACATTGATCAAGTAATGGAGAAACTTGATTTGGGAGGCTGGGGAGAGGTTGTTGTGAAAATGCCCACAGGTGTTATTTCACCCTTTCTCCTATCTGCTGGCCACTTTGCTTCTGGAGGAGACAGTCCTGAATTCTGGCGACTGGGGTCACAGTTCTAATGGAGCCTATGGAAACTCCCGGGCCCTCGTTTTAAAAGGGAGCCATATGCTTGGCGAAATTGGCGGTTCATGGCTGCATAGAGCACCGGGTTGATGCAACCGTTGAGCCAGGTGAGGTTGGCAGCAAGCATGTGGACCACCCGGGGAGCCTGGACTCTGGCATCCAGAATGTTGAGCAGCAGGAAGGGGATGTAGCTCAGGGCAAAGCAGAGGAACACAGCAAAACACATTCGAGTCACCTTCCCAAATTCTGATGAAGAATCCAGAGCCCTTCGGGCTCCTTTAGTTGGCTGGGCTTTGACAGATGCTTCTGGAGGGCTTTTCTCTGCCATTGGCTTAGCTATCTTGCTGTTGATCTGGTCCCCCACTTCTGATGAGTCTCCTTCCAGGGTCTGAGTGGTGGCAGCACTGACTGGCTCAGACGAAATCCCCTCACTGGGTCCTCCTGATGCTAACCTGCTGTCCAGCTCCTGGAAACGACCAGGCGTGGCCTCATCAGTCCCGGCCACGTGGTTGGAGCGGATGCTTGCTTGTCGCAGCTTGTATTGGTCCAGTGCCTGTGCTGCTCGTTTCACCTGGCGGTGGATGAGGCAATAGAAGATGCCAACACTGCTGAGCCCAAGCACAAAGTAGATGCCCATGAGGATGGTGGTGTAAGGCCGGCCTCGGATGCGGTCAAAGCTGCAGGTGCAGACTACGGGTACCAGGATGTAAATAGGCCAGAGTGGGGCAAAGCTGGCCACGCCTATAACCCAGGTGCCCACCAGTGCCAGCACTATCCCCTTGGCACTGAACACTTGAGGAAAAAGCTTAGGGTGGGCAATGAGGAGGTAGCGTCCCAGTGCGATGAGGCAGAGGGTCAGGATGGAGACAGAATTGGAGGCAAAAAGAAGGAGCCCAAACACCCTGCAGAAGGTGGCACCAGTGCGCCAGTGCAGGTGGAGGTAGGTGTCCACAGAGAAGGGCTGAAGGAGTGTGCAGTAGAGGAGATCAGCCAGTGTGAGGTTGGCTATGAGCAGGTTGAATCGGGTACGGAGTTTGGGCTGGATAGCCAAGGCCAGTAAGGTGAGCACATTGCCGACGGTGCCTGTCACAGCCACCACCACCCCCCAGCTAACTGCAACATAACGATAGCCCAGCACAGACTCATGGTAGCAGGAGAAGTTGGCATCAGAGGTGTTCCACATGATAGAGGCTAAAAGAGGCAGAAGGTGGAAGAGGAATAAGGAATCAGAACCTAGCATTCAACTTGGATCTCTTTTTCCTTTGAGACAGAGTCTTGCTCTGGAGTGCAGTGGCACAATCTCAGCTCACTGCAACCTCCACCTCCCGGGATCAGGCGATTTTCCTGCCTCAGCCTCCTGAGTAACTGGGATTACAGGCGTTTGCCACGACATCCAGCTAAGTTTTTGTATTTTTAGTAGAGATGGAGTTTCACCATCTTGGCCAGGATGGTCTCGATCTCTTGACCTCGTCATCCCCCTGGCTTGGCCTCCCAAAGTGCTGGGATTACGGGCATAAGCCACCACGCCTGGCCTGAACTTGGATCTCTTGAACAGCTCTGGGACCCTGGGCATCTGAACTGCTCCTGGACCTCACCGTAATTCACTATCTTCCTAAGCCATTCCCAGGCCTCTTCATCTCAAGGTCCCTAACTCTCTCTAGGTTCTTAGTCCTTACCATTCTCAAATATTTCCCCAAGTTTTTATATAAATATATCTTGCCTAAATATCTTAGTCTTATTCTGCTACAAACCTCAGTCCTCTTCAATATCTATCCTGTTGCTCTCAGTAAACCCTCCAACTTTACTAATTCCTTCTCCATCCCCAAAGACCCCCAGAAGTCCCCTCTCTCTATTCAGCATCCTGTATTCAGGATCCTCTCTGTATCTAGTTCCCTCTGCTCCTCTCCACTATACACACATATAGGCTTTAGTCTTTTTATTTGTTACCACCTGGGAGATGAGGAGACCAAGAAGGTAAAAGTATACTCATCACAAAGTACTTACCTGAGTTTCTCAGCTTTCAATTCTTTCTCCGATGGAAGAAGTTCAACTCACCCAAAGAGCGTCCTTTCTGGTGGACAGTCAGGCTTCACGCTTCAAACAAGAGATATCCTGCTCTTATGTGTCCTATTATACTCCGCCGAAAGAATAAGAAACTCCCCAGTTACTCAATCCCAGCCACTTCCTTCACTACCTCCGGTCCTACTCATTTTGCTTTGGCTAGTGAAATCTATGCTTCTCTTTTGAAATTCCCCTGCTACTTACCTCAGAGTCGTTTCACTCTTTCCTTTCTCCTTCCTGAAACCTGAGCTCTGTTTTCTTCCCCTCTTTTGCGTGGCAGATCTCACCTGTAAGAAAGAGATCATTGCTGAGAATTGCTAGGGCATGGAGTCAGAGCATCAGAACATTTGGGCCACTCCTCAAAGGGCCAAAAGATAAGACCAAGTCCCAGTAGCAGCTTTAGGTACCCCCAGAAGTCCTGAGTTTGTTTCAGAGGAGCACTACCTTTCTTCTCTGCAGGGCTTGGACATGGTTCAGGTCAGAGGGACCCATGTGACACCGTAGCACATCTGAGAAACAGAGTTAGATGAAGAAAAGTGGGAAATGAGGCATTCAGGATTCTGGTTTCATTCCTCTGAAGAGATCAGGGACCTGTTCAATCATTCATTTATCCATTCACTCAACAACTTTGTATTGAGTGCCTACTGTACATCAGACTCTGACCTAGACACTGGGGATACAGGAATGCCTGATACATGGCCTTGTGCATGGTCTACTGAGGAGACAGATACAAAAATATGCAAGCGCTTAATCAGTTCCCCAGAGCAAGGGTGAATAAACTTCACCCTATGGGCCAAATCCAGCTGGCTATCTGTTTTCATATAGCCTGTGACCCAATAATGTTTTTTTTTTTCATTTAAAAATGATTATATTAGGCCAGGCGTGGTGGCTCATGCCTGTAATCCCAGCACTTTGGGAGACCGAGGCGGGTGGATCACGAGGTCAAGAGATCGAGACCATCCTGGTCGACATGGTGAAACCCCATCTCTACTAAAAATACAAAAAATTAGCTGGGCATGGTGGCACGTGCCTGTAATCCCAGCTACTCAGGAGGCTGAGGCAGGAGAATTGCCTGAACCCAGGAGGCAGAGGTTGCGGTGAGCCGAGATCGCGCCATTGCACTCCAGCCTGGGTAACAAGAGCGAAACTCCGTCTCAAAAAAAAAAAGATTATATTTTAGGTTGGGTGCTGTGGCTCATGCCCATAATCCCAGGACTTTGGGAGGCCAAGGAAGGCAGATCACTTGAGGTCAAGAGTTTGAGACCAGCCTGGCAAACATGATGAAACCCTGTCTTTACTAAAAATACAAAAATTAGCCAGGCATGGCGAGCAGGCCTGTAACCCTAGCTATTAGGGAGGCTGAGGAAAGAGAATTGCTTGAATCCAGGAGGCGGAGGTTGCAGTGAGCCGAGATCAGATTGAGTCATGGAATTTCAGCCTGGACAACAGAGGAACACTCTGCCTCAAAACATAAATAAATCAGTAAAATCAAATGGTTATATTTTAAATATTTGTGTAAGTACCTGTGTAATATCCTCAGTTTTATCTCTTGATCAACACAGTTTAAAATATTTGTAATCAGGCCCTTTGAGAAAAAGTTTGCTAAGGCTTGCTTTAGAGTACTATATAGGGGCCGGGCACAGTGGCTCATGACTGCAATCCCAGCACTTTGGGAGGCCCAGGTGGGCAGATCATGAGGTCAGGAGATCAAGACCATCCTGGCTAACACGGTGAAACCCCATCTCTACTAAAAATACAAAAAATTACCTGGGCGTGGTGGCATGCACCTGTAGTCCCAGTTACTTGGGAGGCTGAGGCAGGAGAATCACTTGAACCCGGGAGGCGGAGATTGTAGTGAGCCAAGATAGCGTCACTGCACTCCAGCCTGGGCTACAGAGAGAGACTCCATCTCAAAAAACAACAACAAAAACTGTACAATAAAGGCCTGGCTCAGAGGCTCACGTCTGTAATCTCAACTTTGGGAGGCTGAGATAGGAGGATGGCTTGAGGCCAGGAGTTTAAGACAAGCCTGGGCAACATAGTGAGATCCTGTCTTTACAATAGAAATAATTTAAAAAATCAGCTAGGTGTGTGATGTGTACCTGTAGTCCCAGCTACTCGGGAGGCTGAGGCGGGAAGGTCGTTTGAGCCTGGGAAGTCAAGTCTGCAGTGAGCTAAGATCGTGCCACTACACTCCAGCCTGGGTGACACAGCAGGGTGTTGTGTCTAAAAAGTTTACAGGCTCACAGCTGTAATCCCAGAATTTTGGAAGGCTGAGGTGGGCAGATCACTTTGGACCAGGAGTTCGAGACCAGCCTGGCCAACATGGACAAACCCCTCTACTAAAAATACAAACATTAGCCGGGCACAGTGGCTCATGCCTGTTAATTCCAGCTACTCGGGAGGCTGAGGCAGGAGAATTGCTTGAATGCAGGAGGTGGAGGTTGCAGTGAGCTGAGATCGTACCACTGCACTCCAGCCTGGGCTAGAGAGCAAAAACTCTCAAACAACAAAAACAAACAAACAAACAAACAAACACCCAGAACTGTGTATCAGGAGCTTAGAGAAAAGGAGCATACTACTGAGGAGGTGAGGAAAGGGTTCACAGAGAGGTACCTGAGCTGCATTTTGAATCATGAACAGGAAAGTTTTGTGGGATATGAGTAGAAGGACATTCTAGACAGAGGACAGTATGTGTAGAGGTGCAGAAGTTTAGGTAGACGCCAACAAGGGGGATGGGGTAGACAGTAACAGAGAAGAGCCTGGAAAAATGATCCGGCAGGGTCAAGAGGGACCTAGTGTATTGTGCTAAGGAGCTGGTAAGATTTGCACTCAGACTGCTGTGAGTAAGGGATGAAGGTATGCAGGCTGGGAGTGAGTGAGGTCTGTAAAGAGGCACTAGTGGCCAGGCGCGGTGGCTCACGTCATTAATCCTAGCACTTTGGGAGGCCAAGGCAGGAGGATCATGAGGTCAGGAGATTGAGACTAGCCTGGCCAACATGTTGAAACCCCGTCTCTACTAGAAATACAAAAATTAGCCTGATGTGGTGGCTGGTGCCTGTAATCCCAGCTACTCGGGAGGCTGAGAATCACGTGAACCTGGGAGGCGGAGGTTGCAGTGAGCTGAGACCGTGCCATTGCACTCCAGCCTGGGTGACAAAGCCAGATTCCATCTCCAAAAAAAAAAAAAAAGTGGCACTAGTTCAAACAAGAGATAGAAAGGGCCTAAGTTAGGGCCAGACCACCTGTGTAGGGCCCTGGTGTCAATGCTCTTCAATCACTATCTTTTTTTTTTCTTTTGAGACGAAGTTTCACTCTTGTTCAAGCTGAAGTGCAATGGTGCAATCTTGGCTCACTACATAACCTCTGCCTCCCGGGTTCAAGCAATTATCCTGCCTTAGCCTCCCGAGTAGCTGGGATTACAGGCATGTACGACCACACCTAGCTAATTTTTTGTATTTTTAGTAGAAATGGGGTTCCACCATGTTAGCCAGGCTAGGCTTGAACTCCTGACCTCAGGTGATCCGTCCTACTTGGCCTCCCAAAGTGCTGGGATTACAGGCATGAGCCATTGCACCCAGCCCACTGTCTTTAAATTCTTAATACTTTTTGAATAAGGGATCCTGGTTTTTTGTTTTGCACTGGGCCCCACAAATTATGGAGCCAGTCCTGGTTATGGCAGTGGTGTGGGAATGGAGGAATGATAAGGATCCATAGGTTGTTAGGATGTCATATAGACTTATTTAATGATTCACTGGATAAAGAGGAAGAAGGAGGAACTAGGATGACTTTGTTTTCCAGAGGGATGGTGGTGCTCTTAATAAGATAGGGAATGTAGGAGGAGGAGACTGGTTAAAACTGAATGATGAATTCAGCTTTAAACCAGCAGACTTGAGGCACTTGTGGGGTGTGCTAGTATCCCAGACTGTCTAACCCCAATTTCTTCCAGTCCTTATCTCCCTCTTCACATGTGACCCAGCCCCTGCTTTTCTCTACCCACTCTTCTATAGCGCTTTTCTTGTCCCTCATTCTTCTGGATCCTCCCACCCTCTTTAAAGCTAGATTTACCTGAAAGCGAACAAGCAAACAAACACCAAAGCACTGCTTGTTGGGTTCCAATTCTGAACCCACAGTCAACACCCACGTTTCAACTACACATTGACAAACCCAAGAGGCCCCCATTCCCCTCTCCTTCCTGTTTATCAGTCATCATCCCAACTTCCCTCCTCCTTTCTCTGCAAGACTGGGAAGTGGGTAGAGAGGGGGAAGTGAGCAAAGATGAAAGTCAGGAGGACCTCACATAGATTCTAGGTTTTGGTTTGATCTCTTTTGTTTGAATTTCCTGCAATTCAGTAGGGCTAGAGAGATGGGGTCAGGAGTATTGGCTGCTCTTGGTAGTGTATGGTTGAACCAGATTTTGGGGATAACGGAGAGACCATTTTCCCCACACACCATTTGAGAGACAGCTGAGCAGTATTCCCCTGTCCCACAGACCATTTAGGGGGTCCACTGAGAAGGTATTCTAGTATATATGTAAATGGCACAGTCCCAGGTCTTCAGTCTTGGATACCTGAGATCTCAATGACTCAAGTCTCCTCATTTTGAAGCCTGCGACACTGAGGTCCAGAGAGGGAAAGAACTAATTCAAGGCCACTATTTATGTGGAGCCAGAGCCTAGAGCTCAGATCCCCAGTCTCTGCCCCCATTTCTTCCTAGGCCTTGAGTCTCGCTGGCGTGGGTTTCCCACCAGACGCGCAAAAGCCTGGATTCTTTCCTTTGTCTGAGACTGTGCCTTAGACCCATCTGCGTGGAATCTCGAGACACATCACGGGAGCGGCTTAGCCTCGGGGAGACTCCTTTTCCGGGTCGTTAGCGCCGCCTTGTGGAGTTGCGGCAAATTCTCAACAGCTGCCGTTGCAGTCCCAGATCTGGACTCGAAATGATCCCCCAGGCCAAGTTTACCCGAGCTTGACGAGAATGGGGGTGGGTGGGATGGGGAGTCTCTGCTTACTTTGCACAAGCCTCATATCTTGCCTTCCCCAACCCCCATTTCCCTTTCCCTCCTCCTTCGCTCCCTTTCCTCTCTTTGCCGGTCCCATACAGATACATTTCCCGATGGAATTGCTCCCAAAACAGCGGGCAAAGACAGAATCTGCGGAGGGCAGAACGAATTCAGACTTTATTGTCAGGGAGAGAAAAAAGGGGAGGACCGTGGGTGGGGGGCCGGGGTTGCTACATTGTCAAGCAGAAAGAGTTGATGGAAAGGGGAAGACCAGTGTTGGCCGGACCCCTCCCGGGTCGGC